ATCTACCAATTCAGTATACAAGTGTGACCCAGATGCATTTACAATAGAAACAGTGTCAAGGGAATGGATCCCACCAAGAAATAAAGATTGCATTATATTAATTCCAAATTCTCAGCTCATGAGAAAAATGTGCTCCAAAAACGATTTGACCTTTTGTGGGCAATACGCCTCAGTCCATTAAGCGGTGACGCAGTACTCAGTAGTTTATTGCGGGATAATCCTACATGCTGTGCGGATAAGAAAAATAAGTTAAAATGGATCTCCAAATATACTTGGGAGGCAATTAATATACCTAGGTGGTCCATGTGTGGTTTATATCAGGGAAACACTAACATTGGCTGGCCTTGTTTAGATAAGGACCGGAAATAAGCCTAGGATCAAAAACTAAGCCAAAACAGACATGAAGAAAAAGCAGCAGGAAAGGAAATTGAATTCTTTTTTTTTTATTAGACCATGTGAGTTATTGTCAGAAACCCATTTAATAAGAAAGTGGAACCTCCAAAATCGAAAGGACAAAAAGACAATGGAGTAAATGTAGGAGGTACTTGCGTACGAGGAAATGTCCAGCATAATGTGGGTCATCCCATTAGGTCAGTGGAATGCATTTGTCCCACAAACAATATCCCCAGTTGTGTTTTAATCGTTTCTGGGAAATACCTCATACCATGGAAGGCAATGCTCTTGCATTTCATTTTGACATTTTAGTGCTTTTTGTTTACTCTTTTGAAAAAATTGTAGAAACAGCTTTATTTCCTGCGATCATTTGATAACCAAAACAAATGCCCTGCTAATGGAGCTTAAAGGTGGGGTAGGTACGTTTGAGAAACCGGCTCGAGATACACTTTTTGTTATATTCCATGGAATGCTCTTAACATCCCGGTAGCAATGAATATCTGAAGTGCTTTGACAAAAAATCCATTAAAAAATGTCATCTGTGGAACCCGTAATACTGGTCGGCTAAACGGATTGGATTGCCGACCGGTCTGTCAGCCTTCCATCTCGTGCACGCACAAATGTATCTCGTGCCCTCATTGGGCGTGCCGTCATTGGGCGTGCATTGCAGCAGTACTTCGATGACTCGCCAGCAACAGGCGGCCACTTTCACCAGTCTGCTGACGTCATGTGCGCGTTCATGTGTGTTGGAGGAGGTGCTCTGTAAGGAAGTCTGAAGGAAGGGGCGGATTCTTTTCGGCTGTGTACTTTCAAATTTTAGTGCACTCGAGCCGGTTTCTGAAACTTACCTACCCCACCTTTAAGCTTCAATGTAAATGTTGCATATTCACCAGCCATTAGAGCAGGGGTGTCCAAACTACTACCCGGGGGCCAAATGCGGCCCGCGGACCATTTTGAATCGGCCCTCAGCAAATTCTAAAAGTATAATGTAATACGGCCCACAAATGAAACTTGTGCTTGTGTTATATTGTACTTCTTAAATATATATGTACAAATTGTTGTGGAAATATTTTCCAAGGCCCATAACTTTGACCCAGTGTATCAGTTCAAACTGTCCTGACTGAGCACAGGCACCTGTAACCTTGGCTGCTGTGCTCTCAGTGTTTTGTCTCCCTGTTCCTGTCTGTTGGCGTCAGCTGATAGAGGTGTTATCATTCTATCTTGTTATGCAGCATGTTGATGATGCTCTCTGAACTAGCTAAATACAGGGGTCTGGGGTAGAGTTCTTCAGAATTGACGTGGCAACTCTACCGTGAAGTCAGAACCTCTGACTCTTGGACTTGTGATGTGAATCCTCCGGCCGTTAACTCCAAATAAACCATCATGTGTTTGACATCAAAGCTACTGCTCTTCCCGTGTCTCCTTCCTGAGTCGGTGACTCCCACTGCATAGCTACACAGAAGTTTCCTCTACACAAATATATTACACAGTAGTATTCATGTGTTAATAAGCCCACTTTTCAAATAAATTCAGTCAATTAAAGTTGGAAACATTTTCTACATATTTCCCCTTATTATAAGCAAACTGAGGGATGAGCTACCAACAAGATAAATGAAACCCTATGGAGAGCTGTGATATAGGCTGTTTTTTTCTCAAGGCATTTTCAAGTATCAAGCATAATTTACCTACATTTGATCAATTTTCCTGACGTATAACTTAACTTATGAGGCAATGTACATCTAGTGACTGGCCCAGCCCTTCCTATATTTTTCTGTATGTGGCACTCGGTGAAAAAAGTTTGGACACCCCTGCATTAGAGCAATGTATGATTTTTAGTTGATACACTGCCCTTAGATCAGGAACATTGTAATTATTTTACGAGTAATATCAAATTAAAGGAAATGTTATATGCTCTAGTAACAACGCATTGTTTCTGATAGCTATAATGGTTTTCATCAACAAAAAGTATTGTACTTGCCAATGGTAATTTACTCAGTTTAGCCAAACCTATTTGGTTGAGGAAATGTATCATACAGTACAATGATCAGATCAGTACATTTGTCTGTGTAAAATAATTGAGAATGTATTACATTTAATCTTTGCACCTACTGTGTAATGGCATTTTAATCTGAGCAATCATGTGTCCTTGTTCTTCCAGGTGGGAAGCCCACAGGTGTGCTTTGTGGAGAACCGTCAGCCCCCCGGAGGAGAGGAGGGAACCAGGGCAGCAGCCCCTCCGCAGACAATCCCGTAAGATCACGCATGAGATCATGAGCTTTGGTAGTTAAAAATGAAGTGAAACCTTAGGGCAAGCAAACATATAGGGAAGCAAAAGAAGAAGAATGTATATTTGTCTGTCTTCATCTTCCCTTATTGTCCCACAAAGGCCACTTGTGTATTCATTTCTGACTTTCTTTCTTTTTTAGGACGGTGAAAATTATCAATTTGATTATGGTAAGCAACTGTTATTTTCTGGTCACATCACACAGTTTTACCTCTGGTTTTATAGACTGTAAAACAGGGTCCGATATTACATACAACATTTGGATAAATATCTCAAATACAACACGCATACATTGTTTATACGTGTCATAGAAATAGATGTTACAGTAGTGATAGTCAAATTCTATTTCTATGGTACCTGTACACATACATACAGTCATTGCCTGTGCATAAACACATACATATAACCACACGCAAACACATCTATTTTTGTGACAAGTCCATGGTGAATTTTCCACTGTTAATGTTTTGAATTGGAATAAATTGTCGCCTATTTCCCTGCATATGTTTAGACAACAGTGCCCCGGAGCCTGAAGCGGTTGCAGAACAGAAGGAAGAGAGTCCTCCAGCAGACGATACTGCCGGGGTAAATCCCTCTGGCCGTAGAAATCCCCCTGGCGGAAAGTCCAGCCTCATCCTAGGATAAATCCCTAATGACCCCCCCGTACCCCCTTCATCTACTCATCTCTGAACTTGTCTCTATTTTAATTATTTATTTTTTAACAAGGAATACCGTCCCATTTGCCTGTACTGCAGTAATTGTTTCTGATGTCCAACAGACACCAGTTACCTTCACACCCCCAAGTGCATTGTTTTGATACTTCTTTTATTAAGGTCGTTTTGTACTGTTTTTTATTGTTTGTTTGTTTTGACAGAAGCACTTTATGTATTTCTATGGACATGTTTCAAATAGTCTGCCTTTGCCCCTGTTACGCATTAGACATGGCAGACAGGGTACAAGGATCATATTTCTCTTATCAACAAATTATGAATTCATCTCCCCCTGATTATTTAAGACAGCATGAGCTGTACGTAATTATACAAGCAGTTTCCAGAACACAAGCAACTTCAAAAGCTGTCACTTTTGCACTGTGTTCAGTTTTGATCCATCTTGCATGCACGTCTAGTCTGTAAAGTATGAATGTGAGAAGAAACGTAACTGAAGATTTTTTATTGATTTAACCTGTTTATTTTTCTGTGGAATAATTGTTGTATTGTTGTTGCATGAAGTTGGAATCGTTCTACTGATTATATTATCATCCACTAAGGAGCCAAATAGGAGTCACATAAATTACTGTTATTGTGATCTGAAGGATGCAAACATTAGTCTTCAGATGAGTACTGTAGGTCCCATGTCAGGTAACTGAATTGGAATAAGCCCTTTTTATATTGTAGTCACTAGGCCTAGATAACTGTAACCCCAGTGCCGGTTTTGAGTGCCCCATGTTTTTATAGGTGATTTTACTCTACAACAAAGTGTGCCTGTTTTGTGTGTTAGGCTACAGCATCAAACAAGGTTGGGTTTCAAGATTTGCATCCGACGTGTATCAACAAGGCCTAGGTTTTCCATTGTGGGTCGATGGAATGTTGTTGGTCATGAAGTGTTTCTTGTAAACCCATCCTAGATTTGAAAAGTGACCTTATGAAAGCTCTGCCTTTTTTCTATGTTCAACACTACTTTTATTTTGTCTATTATTCTTCTCAATGGAATTATAGAAAAAATATTTTTGTACATTTCATTGTCGCATTATTTAACCAAAATTCAAACTCCCTCCTGCTTCTGTCTTGTTGAGTCACGTGTGTGACTGCCGTATCAACCTGCCGTCATGGCAGACGACCTACATTTCAGGTACATGAAATGTAATTTCTGTGGTGTCTATTTTTAACGTCTGTTATGATGCAAGTTATCTCTGTTTGCATCTTATATCAGTTCCTGTTGCTGGATGTAAGTCACTGCAGAAAATTGAAATTAAGAAATGGCACAAGTGTTAAAGAACATTAAATAACAATTTTGACCATGTTTTCTGTGTTTGTTGTACCTTTTTTAAATGATTACAATGTAGAAATTATGGTTGTTTTACTGCAGCTCTTTGTAGTTTTACCCTCCAGCTAAAATGTTATGAACTAAAAAGATAAGGTTAACATTTAGATGTATGATAAAGTTGACAGGGAAAAGTTGTGAATCATCCATAAAGGATAACCATTGTAAAATGAAGGCTATATTGGCAAGCCTTTTTTTAAGCAATTCGAATTAAAGGAAATGAATGGACCAAAATGTTGTTCAAATAACTTTTTCATTATTTTCTTAAATGTGTTCAGTGTCACAACTGCGCGAAAGCACCTACAAGCCAGCCTATACCCTAGCCCGCCGCTCTATTCAGAATGAAAGTGAAAGTAAGCTTGTTTGAAGCATGCAAACAGTCGAGTAGATTTCAGATAAACGAGGGATCCACCGACAAGAGAAGTCGACTTCTAGAGGAGCGTGTGCGGTGAGTTTGACGTGGCATTTTGTGTTATATTGGCGACATCATGGATCATAATGTGTTATGTAGGCAAAGTGTTCCTACATAATGTAGCTAAGTCAACCTCCATTAGGATTTTCTTTGATGTTTTTCGACAGTGTCCTTTAAATACTGTATTTGTAACGTACGGAAACGATAGTGTATGTATGATATATTTCTGGAATTATGTGTTAATTGTTTCTATGTTTACGGGGAAAGTCGATCTACTCAATGCCCTCGTGAGCTCAACCTCGCTCCAAATACAGTAGCCTATAGCTCCACTGGTAGGATACTTAACATGACCCAAAACTCTTCTACGCCTAAAACCTTTATAAAATACCAAAGTTATGAATGTTTTACAGTGCTTCCTCTTGTATTCTCTAGAATAGATAACTAATACGGAACAGACACGTCCGACAAGTTACAATATTTGCATACACAGCACAAGCGTCACAACAGTGCCTAAACTGCCATAGACGTTGTTAACTTAGACTTAAATAAGCAATGCACAATGAAGTTGCTTGTAGCCTTTGATTTCCACACAATATGTTTATGTCACATTAAATTAAACAATACAAGTATTCTATCACTTTGAGATATATGAAGTCTGTTTGTACTAAAATAATAATAATAACAATCACACAATTGTTTTTGTTATTTAAAAAACGTTTTTGCCATAATTAACACAGTGGTAAACGTTTAGGTAGAGAAGCCTTGCAGAATTAAAACTGGGCTACATCAGACACCTTTGCTGTTAGATACTAGTAGAATAGTGCAGTATTGCATGTGTTTATATCATGTTTATATGTAATACTAACGGCCACTCTCTTTTTATGTATGTTAGTTTATGTTGGAATAAATGTTACTAACTAGTGGGACTTTCAATTCCCATTTTTTTTAAAAGTTGAAGTGAGTGTTGCATGGGCTATCAAAAAGTCATCAAAAGTGATCATCACCATGGTTTTTGCTGTTTTGACAGAGGTAACGTTGCACACATTCAGGAAATGATGAAAGTGAGAACTGAATTCTAGATCACTGTTTATAAATATTTCCTGACTTTAAAACGCTCTTCAGTAAGAAGAGGGGTTGTTGATGGAATAGGAAAATATACTTTTTTATTAAGAGGTCAACATTCTGAATATTGGATCTGTTCTGGTACATGGCTAAGGCATAGAACATATAACCATATTGTTTTCACAGCCCTGTCTTTCCCCTGATAATAATAAAAAGTATTATTATTAATATTGTCATACTGATTTGAACAACTTCATGGTTACCTCTTGTTTTTTTTAAACTTAGGATCATATACCATTGTTTAGAATAGAAAACGGTTCAGGTGTGTATCATTTCAAGTTCTCTTGCCTTCAGGTCAACGCCTTCAGGACGTTGACACAGTGTCCAAATAGGAAGTGAATAAAAAGGCCAGGCCACTCGGGTCATATTATCCATGTTTTTAAATAAGGAAAACAATTATGACAGTACTCCCAGGAGAACACTCTGTCATAAACTGTATTGCTGTTGAAAACCACAATGTGCTAGATGTTAACCCACATGCAGTGCATATCCATAACTCAGTGTTGGACTGACATATGGGATGTGCTGTATGTGACCTGTGTGTATCAATCAGAGGATACATTCTTGGATTCAATCCTCAAGCGGTTGTGTGGGAATGCAGATGTTTATTCACCCTGTCCAAGATTTTTAGAAAGGCTTCCGCCACATAACAGCTGCAGTTAATTATGCTTTTGGTTAGGATATTTCTTTTGTGTTTTTTTTGCGCTGTGATTGAGTAAGAATTCTCTGACTGACTGAGTTAAAATATACAAAAAAGTTGCTTTGGTGATGGGAGGCTGCCCCTGCACCTTTGTGTTATGGGAAATAGACACATTTCTTTTTGCAAAAGCCTGTTCCGTTTTGATCATGTGGATGAACAAGCTGTACCTGAGTCCAACAAAACAGCACAATGTATTCCTATGCCTTTTAAGGATGGTTTGGGCACAAGGTGGGAAGTCTCAAACTTGAGTGAGTTCAAAATAAAGTACATTTTGTCAATTTTGTTGCAAGTGCAGAGAGACAGAGTGAGCTACAATCCTTGGGTCTAACACTTAACTTTATGAAAGCAAATAAAAAAAGAGCACAGGGATTATCACAGAAATGTGTTCCTCAGCTCTCTGAAGTGAAGAAGAAATTGCTTAATATGTGTCAACTCTTGAGCTTTCAAGTTTTTCATTTTAAAGTGGATATCTCTTTCACTATCACTTCGCTTTTTTCTCCCCTGTTTTATTTCTTGCAGAGTTAAGTGGCAGTTCAAGTGAAAGTAAATACAAACACTGAAAAAGTGAAAGTGGAAAGCTGGTCAAGCAGGTGTTTGATGTTCAATATCCAGTTACAATATGAGAAACGTCTAGGAACAAAGAGCAGTATTGCAAAAACAAAATATACATTAAATACATTAAAGGTCACATGTCATGGCCATTTCCACTGATCAAAATTCCATTGTTGAGGTCTACTAGAATAGATGTATACTGTGCAATCTTCCAAATTCACATTGGTTTCGCATACAGCATCTCTGTAAACTACGTGTATTCACTCTCTCCACTAAACGGCTCGTTGCAGCTCTTGCCCCCCCCCCCCTCCCTCAGTAGCGTGGCGTGGGGAAAAATGTAGGGGAAGCCCATTTTTTGGGTCGGGGGGGGTGGTCAATAACGTAACCAGATGAGTGATTACAGCACCCGGTATCATTTTACACACATTTGTATCACACAGATGCAGGACTTGCACTCGCCTGTTATCTAACCGAAAGGTCCGCACGCACTCTCCAGCTGAAACTCTCCTTATTAATTTAAGCATTTTACTTATTAATGTATGCAGACAATAACACAATCTATGTGATTTTTGGATTTACCGTGCCTCTCAATTGCCCGTGACAGGTTGGCAAGGTCGATGAATCCTGAAGTTGCCCAAGGATTGTTCAGGGAGCACGAATCCTTGTCAAAAAGAAGACATGGCCAGCAAAATAGACGCTGAAGTTTAGCGCTTCCAGTTAGCCACTCCGTGCGGACATAATTGTCCTCATTGAACGTCCGATTCTCTCCCTTTTTCCTCTGTGTACACACAGCTCGAGTGCGGGCATTGGCCTGTCATCTGATTTAATTTTCAGTTGCTGCTGTAGCAGAAGTTTAGTAAAGTTATGTTTGATTAAGTACGCCAAATCTCCACCCTCCATAATGCTTCATTTGCTTGATAATTTCTGACGGCGGTGATGACAGTTACAGTATTAAAACTGATGTTGATGTGATTTGATTGGATGGCAGTGTCCAATCAAATCGCCAGCCGCCAGCCGCCTCTGAAGGGAAGCAAGAGGCGGCTGGCTTCCCTTGGCATGGCCTTGACCAATCACAGGTTGGCAGGGGCATCACGTGGGCCTCATCTGATTGGTCAATCCCTCCATTTTTTTTCACCAAGGGAAGCTAGATTCGGCTGGCCTCCTCTCACAACAGAGAGTGCAATCTACTGTTTCACCATAACATCTAGAGGGGCGCTGTTTGTTTCACTCTTTGTAAAATACTCAATGAGAATGGGGGAGCGACGGGCCGGCAGCAACACACAGCAAAGGAGAATTATCGAAACAAAACAAAGTGTTTTTATTTATTTATTTAAATTATAACTACAATCCGAAAAAACAAGGGAAGCCTGGCTTCCCTTGGCCTCCGGGAGAAAACGCCACTGCGAGCCCAGTGTGCTCCGATTGGTCGGGACGTTGTGAATCGCGCTGAGCTCCGTGGAGGTGTGATTTCCTTGTTTAGCGATAAACAGCGAAACACAGCCAAACTCACCCTGAGCACACACAAAGTAACAGCCGAAGTAAAAACAATAAGTGTGGCTTGATATTGAGTAAGAAAAAGGTTGATAAACGCTGTGAGAATGGGTCTGCTGAGAGAATTTCGCCGCGATCCCAACTGTCTGTTATCAGCCTGCAGCCAGGGAGGAGAGATAGCTGCCTGCACTGAGTGTGTGAGGAAGTCCGTGGATTGGTCAATTTGGACCAATCAGCGGGGGCTTAACGTAACGGCTCCGCGGACGTGACGTAACGTAACGGCTCCACGGATTGGTCCATTTCGTTCCGGGGACGACATTATTATTACATTACATGTCACTTGTTAGACGCTTTTATCCAAAGCGACTTCCATACTCAATACTGTGGGCAATCCCTACAGGAGAAATTTGGGGTGAAGTGTCTTGCCCAGGGACACAACGACATGCTGACTGCAGTGGGGTTCGAACCTGTGACCCCCTGAACCCAACACCAAGGCTCTATCCACTGCGCCACACGCCTCCCACATGACATCATGATGTCCTCGGAAGAATCAAATGGACAGTGACGTATCTCCAACGAGGCGTTTTGGGGAGGTATTACTATTTTCTTAGAGTTGTACTCCCTACATGGTGTACTTTGAGGGTTTTGACTCTGCACACCGTTTACATGCATAAAAACCTTCATAACACACAAGGGGACGGGTACTAACCGGAAAAGCATGACATGTCACCTTTAAGATACCCATTTACCATCGAGCAACTGCTTTGGTTGCATTTATGGTACTGTGCAGGTCTGAATCTAATACCCAACCTTCTTGAAAAATGTGTAGCCTGTGAACAAACATTTTACAGAAGATGGCGTCGCTAATAAGATCTCGCTGTTGGCACATTCTTTATAAATCAAAAGTAGACGGTTCAAACAGAAACCAGAATCATTTCAAACCCAAGTTTAAACTGAGTTCTTTCCGTGTTTTTTTCTACAGTTTTTAGGCCCTTAAAGGACAAGTATTGCAAATTAGCAGGCTTTGGCAATCTAAGGCTCATGTATCTGTTTCTATAAATATGAATGAATATGTAGAGAAAATGAATTATCTTGCTTCCTTTTACCTGTGTTACATGTCAGTTTGTCTGCTTGGGTGTGTTTGGGTGTGTCTCTCCCTTCTTTCCCTGATTGTCTCCCTGCAGGTGCCGCCTCTCCTTCAGGTGATCCCCATCCCGTAATCAAATCTGTAGTTTATTCACTCTAACCCTGCGTTTCTTTTTTCTTCAACAAAGAAAACTTGGGCACACAAAAACAGGGCCATGTGTGGAGGGGAAGTGTAAGAGAGAGACTGTAGCTTTCCTCAGGCCTTTTATGTAGGTACAGAGAGACAATCAGGGGAAGAGGGGAGAGACACACACAAATACACACAAACACACACAAACAGACATGCTGACCTGTCTTTGGTCTGTTTAGGAACACCTGTGTCTAGGCATGCATGTATACTATGCTATTGGGAGAACTTAGGCAAGCAACAATAAACTCAATTTATAACTTAATAACGGAGTAACACATTCTATCATCTCATCCCCAACGCCCCCCATTTTAAGCTCTTTTTGTCTGCCAGGTGTATTCAACCAAAGAGCCCATGAATGCAAGGTATCTATGGCAACTAAGGAACAAACGTGCAAACCTAAATTGAAATCAGATCGTGAGATATATTTTCCAAATAGCTGGAGGGCAGAAGAAAATATCCAAAGGAACCGCCATGGTTTGGCAGTCAATACACGCTGTGTAGTACCTGAACTCTGAGAATGTTGGTCTTTAGCAAGTTCACATTAAAACACTAACTGCTATGAGTGCATGCTTCAAGAGAGAACAAATAGTCCCTTGTGACACAACTAGAACCATCTTCAAAGTGTTGCTAAACAATGTTAATGTAAAAAAAAAAGAACTGACCAATTCATTTTGATGAGCTGCATATTGCTCTTTGTGCTTCCATGTGTCATTGTTCAGGGTATAATGAAAAGAGTGCTTTCAGAAGAACAATGCAGCAGAACATCATTGGTTATCATTGTGTAAATAAGTTTAACAATAGTGATGTCACAAGGGCGAGAAGTGTAGGAGTTGTTAACTTGGTGCATAGCGAACTTGACTACCCTTTTGTACTTTAGATATTAAAACGAGTATGTGTTTGTTTTGTCATTTCAGATAAATCAACATGGCCTCAAATGGTGTCCTTCTTTTGTTCACTTTCATCCATCTCAGCATTGGACATACAGGTACATTTTGCTGTAATCTTAGAATTTCACGTATGAAATGCTGTTTGCTACTGATGTAGCTTTGTGTCTCTATAACAAAATATTTTCTGCTACAGCTTTTGTAGATCTGGAAGTCCGTGCTGAAAATGTGGGAAAATATGGCCAGCAGTCATTGCTGGAATGTGTTTACATACACTCACCAGAAGCAGAGGGTGGAAAACTCGTCTGGGTCGAGTGGAAAAAAGAGGGAGTTGAAGAAGCATTACTGTCTTTTCACAAAGGTAGCACTACAGCAGAGTCAGGCTATTCATTTGCTGAGCCGTCCTGGAACACCACAAACAGGAACGTCTCCCTGCTCATTACCAGCACTTCTGTAAAGGACCAGGGAGAATATACATGTAACGTGATGACAGAAAGTGGAGATGGATTCAAAAACACCCGGCTTAGAGTAACAGGTGAGACCCTCCAGCCGTGGTTGACCACTGCACTGGAACTATTTGTCACAACAATAGGTGACCATTTTGAGTCAAATGCTATTCTGCTAACTAATTTAATATCTTCACTGCAAGTACAGTTGTTTCTCTAAACATTTGTTTATTCTGCTTGCTAACTGAACATGCATTTATAATACGTAATTGCTGTCTTGATACTTGAGACAATTCAGAGATCCAGGGGATTTTCCTTGCTTATCTGATTGGTATTCCCCTTGCTGTGTTTAGTTACTTTCAGTTTCAATGTTACATAAGTCAGTTATGCATTGCTGCTTACCACATATTGCACTTTATACTTCTTTTAGAATATAAGGATCAACAAACATTTTCTTGATATTTCATTTGTGTCATTTTATGATGGGGCAAGGTTCGGCTTTATGGTCATGTTTTTCCTCCCTCTATCCTTTACAGCCAAGTACAACAAACCAGCTATAAAATTAGACCCTCAGACAAGTACCCTGATGTGCGATTCCGACAGTGGCTATCCAGAAGGTCAACTTTGCTGGTTTGATGAGTTCGGCACAGAGTGGACCAAAAGCTCTCAAATGGAGGCGAAGAAGACTGAAAGTGGTCTGTTTAACCTCTCCAGTAAGCTGACTTTGATGGACGGATCTACTTTCTCCAGCTACACTTGCAAAGTGTTTAATGTCAGTGGAGGAAACGAGGAAGAGGCCACATATACAGTACAAGAGCCAGAAAAGACAGGTATTTGTTGCTGATTACTTCGCTTGATAACTTTTAGGCCTTTTGGTTCACTTGTTCTTCACACAAGGAAATGCCATACAAACATTTCAGCCACTGTTACATCTGAGGTCTCGATTTACTTGAAGTCTGAAAGCAATGACTATAACTGGAGTTGCATAAACAGACCTTCATTATTGATTGCACAACTAAAAAAGACTTTGAACCCCAAGCCAACTTGGTGCATTATTTAATAACATAAAATACATACTGTTTTCACACACACGTAAATATTATGTACACATGACCAATATGTATATATGTTCATTTTAATTCATTTCTTATTTTATAGTTATTTTATCATTTGTATCTTTGATTCTATCCTTAATTGTGTGAATCTGTGCTGTCCTGTTTTCAATCCTACCTGTTGCTCTTAAACTACTGAATTTCCCCACGGGGATTAATAAAGGTCCATCTTATCTTATCTTATTTGTTTTGCTGCAGAGCGTGACAGAGGACTGAATTATCCCACAGCAACAAAACGTGTCAAATGTAGTTTTAATAGGCTTGTTATTGGCAGGTCATACAGTTGTATTTATTTATGACAACACATCTCTGCTTCAGTTGTTTTTGAACTGTCATGTTACGGAAAACTCCAAAATATTGCTCCTCACAAACAAAGAAAGCTATGCTTGACAGTCCAGGCTACCGGTTAATGCTTTTTGTGTTGTTGAACTACAGCTTTTCTTCAGTTTTATTTATTATCATTAACTGAAAACCCTTTCAAAAGAGCTGACGTCATTTTCCTATGGCCAAATTGTGCAGACCGCATTGGAAATTAAAGTGCAAGTGAAAGTAGTTTGCAAGAGTAATATAGGGTGAACATCCAACCAGTCTGATTTTACCAATAGAAGCTCACTGTTTTTGTTCATGAGTTAAAGTATTAACACATTTAATCTTTCTTGGTTTTATTCAGGACGTGCCCAGGGGAATAAGATGGATGGCACCACCAAAGTAGTCGCTCCTCTGGTGGTCATCGGATCCCTGATCGTAGGGTTGCTGCTGCTGATGCTGCTGCTTTACAAAAGGCGATCTCAACGTGAGTACAGTCACAGGCACTTGCTTGTCTTTCGGTTAATATGAACCATTATTGAGGATTAACATGACGCATATGAAAAAGTACAGGGTAGACAAACAAACCTTGCCAGTTAAATGTAGGATTTCCTGCTTCCTTTAATAAAACAAGAAGCAAACAAATGTACCACATCCCATGTTAGTCTACACGAGACAGCCACAAATAATACAGAAGTATGCACTACGTAGTGTAAGCCACTTTGAACAAAGTGTCTGCTAAATGTATTACAGATGTATGATAAGTGTTGACCAAAAGTAGTACATTCGTATAAGTATGTATCATTAAGAAATCCTTGTCAGCTGAAAGAACATACCGTGCATCCCTAAAAGTATATAACGTTATCTAACACTATGGAAATAAAACGATTAACTGGTGATCAATTTGGATAACGATTGAACATTGATCGTTTTGCTTGCTTTATCATTCAGAATGTCCTTTAATTTGTGATAAGCAGGTGTGAGTAGTTGCAGTATTACTGATAGAGACTATACAAACACTCCAGCCCCTTTACTGTGATATTTGATCGAGGTATATATTTATATTTTCAATGTGACCATATAATGCTACCATTCTGTAATGTTGGGTCAGATTTCCTCAGTGGCTTTCTGTAAACAATAAAGAGCTGACAGGAAATAGTCTTAAAATATATGAAAGTTAACGCCACAATGGTTGGAGGTGGAAAAACCTGTAAAAGTAGACAAGTTAATCAGGATGGGAAAGTACACTCTTTTATTGTTGGCTTGAATCCAACTGTGTAGCAACTGCAAACCTGTCATTAGTCTAAACTGGTCGAGTATTTTCCATTGTTCACATTGTACTAAAGGGTCTTGCGTAAGTGTTGTGATTCAAATAGATCTGATTTTAATTCATTCATCATTTCCTTGACAGTGGTCCGGAGGTTCTCTACACGACCCCTTATTATGGGTATACTTATCTTGACTTACTTTAGAGGTTCTAATCATCTCTGTTGATTTTTCTATCTATCAGCATATTTGAGCTGCCTGAATCACTAAATATCTGCAACAGAAATTCAGACAGATAAGTGAGTGGTTTAGTGAGCTAAAATATATTAAACATTGTTTTTAAATGACCTTGGTTTGTATTTATTATATTTATCTGATTAATAAGTGTTCAGTAGCCTCCTGGACTGCATATTTTGAGCCAAACATCAAACCAAAGTCACTCACCACCACAGACCGGTCAAATTCCAAGCTAGGGAAGGTTGTCTCCCGCTGAGCTTTTAACCTTGCTCATTGTTCTGCTTGAGGACATGTTTATCAGTAACCAAGAACGTTTCCTGTCTCTGCATGAACTTTGTATTTTCATGTCTAATTCACTCTCTTGCTTTCCTCTGGCTTTCAGATGTGTAATGTATTTATATAATGTATATACGTAAATACATGTATTTAGTAGGTTTTCCATGGTTTGTGCTAAACTCAGCTTGGGTACCAATCAGTTTTTCCACTCATGATAAAACCTGACTCATGTTTGGAAACTCACTGCTGGGAATCTGCCTATGCTTACGTCAACAACACTCTTATTATGGTTTTACACCCACCCCAATGTAACTCACAGTTAAATGTTTTTATTTTTTCCAGGTGACCATCAGCCGGTTGACACATGTGACTCACCTGTTGAGCAAGGTATGTCTAAATTACAGTATTTTGACTCTAAAACAGTGTATTATACAACTTTTATTTTGAATGCACTCTATGAGATTTCATCCCGGCTTCGATATTAAATATTTTTGCTGTTTATCTTCAGGAGAGGATCAATCATGCCCAGACAGTCCGGCCTGAGGTAATTATAATGCTCCAAACATCCTAATAAAGAAGATTAGTTCCTACAAAACAATATTACATAATCTAATAGCTCTTCCACTCTCTCCCTCCCCCCTCTCTCTGCAGAAGATAGTGCCTGTCACATGACATGTGGAAATGCACTGGCAACCTTTGAAATCAACACTTCCTTGTTTGCTAATCTCACTGTTTTCCTTACTGCAAACAACTATAACCAGAATTAACTTGTACTACTGTGATGTTCTCAGAGGATTTGTTTGAGCTTTATTTACCTTAGCTAAATAGGTGAACACTCCAAAATCAAGTCTAAATCTAAAGAAAGATCAGGATATATTTTTGAATCAGTGACGGACAACTAAAAGGCATGGGGTCACGTAAGGCCCTGTGACCTGTAAAACCCCATGAGGATCTGAGGATGTGTAGAATCACCAGGAAATAATAACTAATGAGGACTTATGGCGCGTTTCCACTGCAGCGGGTAGCCCCGTTTAAGCGTCCTTAACCGTCCTCAAGCGGCCAGGCCGGTTTTTGGTGGCGTTTCCATATAGCCTAGTACCGGCCAGCGGGTACTTTTTCCCTCTTTTTCCGGCCTCATAAAATCGTGGTTCCCTCAGCCAGGGCTGAACTAGTGACGTCAACACTCTCGACTGCTGATTGGTCAGAGAGAATCGTCACAAGATTGCGTGCGAGTTCATCCCTAGCGTCGCATATATATCTAGAAGCAAGCTTGCAGCATTTTTATACACAGCATTTTGTAAACGGAGGAGCTACAAAAATGGCTACTTCTAAGAAAAGCACACCGTGGTCGACCGAGGAGGTGACGACGTTCCTTCATCTCATTGGGGATGATAAAATCCAGCGGGAGCTCGACGGAACAACGAGAAATGTGAACAAAAACAAAGCTGATCGCCCCGCCTACACTGCGTTACTACCCCAGGTCCTAAACTGTAATGGAAATGCGCCACGGCCTGGGCCGGCCAGCGAGGCAGCCCGAGGCCTGAGCGAGGACGCTTAGGGACGCTTAAACGGGGCTACCCCGCTGCAGTGGAAACGCGCCATAAGTCTCTGATGGAGTTTGGTTATTGGAGGGACATTTTTCTAAATTGTGCCCACGCAGTGAATGTAGCTTTTGGCAGCTTTGACCCTTGTTCTCTCTCTGTTATTTGTCAAATTATGTCAACGTTACAAAGAAAAACGTTGAATTATATTTCTAGGAATGGTGTGTGTCTGTGTGTGTGTGTGTGTGTGTGTGTGTGTGTGTGTGTGTGTGTGTGTGTGTGTGGTGTGTGTGTGTGTGTGTGTGTGTGTGTGTGTGTGTGTGTGTGTGTGTGTGTGTGTGTGTGTGTGCCCAACGAAAAGCAGGCAATGTCTGAAGGTAAAGATTTTTATTTTTCTACGATCATGACTTGATAAGTAGCGTAACATGTGTGAAGTACAAGAGTGTGTTAGAAAATATACTGTATGTTTCTTACGGTAAATATGAACCATTCAAAAGCAGAAATGTGCCAGGCGATCTCAGTTATCGCGACCTTGACTTATCTTTAAATCCGATTTTAGCCCTTGCTGCTGCGGAACATTCAGGCCCAGCTAATTTCATATCCTTATTCTAACCAGGAACAAAGATCTCTAGAACAATTTTGGTGGCGCTTCCCCATGTCACATGATTTCCACGTATCACTTATTTACTCTATACAAAAGTGTGTTGTGTTTATAAACCAAAAATGTGTTCCTCTTTATTGTCGGTCATGAGGATGTTGTGTAACTTTTGGCAGCAATGTGCGGACGTTTTTTCACAGTGGACACTTATCTTAATCCTCTCAGGCCTGTTTTTGGTTTCATTCTTCAATCTGATACTGGCTTTCTTTGATGCAACAATATTTTCAGGGAACGTGGTTTTTGTTCTGAGCCCTGCTCTGTATGGAGCAGCTCACTATTGTACGTAAAAGCTTTGTTCTAATTGTAGATATCGGCGTTAATCATTTTGTGTTTGATAGGAAAAAAACGTCGTTATTAAAGTTTGAAGTTTTTTTTATTTGAAACTCTAACATGAACAATTCAACTTAAAAATGTAACGCTTTTTTGAGCACTGTGTGAATACTGTTTTGATCCATCTGTGAATATTGTAATTCTGTGTGTCTGTGTGTTAATTTGTTTTTCCACAACCTCATACATTATGCCATAGGAAAGCACTGTCAATATTACTTCATTCAGTCAAAACAATGATAGGACTAACCTTTAACTGCTGTTGTGATTTTTTTACATGCAATAAAAGTCAAATTGAAAAAGATATTGAATGTGAATTATTTTATTGTGTTAACTTTTGCCATGGACTTGTAGATTATATTTCAGACATAGCATTTATTTTTGAAGGATTTCTCTCAAATGTGTACGGACATAGAAACCAAAATCACTTTCTGGTTATTCCTAGGGGGATTTTCAAGTTACGTTGGCTGTGTATGCAACACATTTAAATCTCCGGATATAACATGGTTTCTTGATGAGCTCATTTGGCTACAGAGAGGTATACAAGAGCCGTTCCCAGCGTTATTTCCTTGTTCCTCTTTCATTTCACTTTCTATTGAACATTTAAAATAAATGAAGGAATCAAAACCATTATCATCATGTTCTTGTAACAGATAATTGATCATCGGCATGCAATGAGTTACTCTGTAACTTTCAAACCTGCACTTTCTGACTTTTTTTGTAATCAAAATTGACTGAATCAACTATTGTACTTACAGTATGTGGTTTTAAATAATGTATAATATGATACAATTTGAATGAATACAATATATATCAAACTTTATGATATAAACATTTGTTTAAGATTTCAAATGAAAGTGAAAGTCAGCTAATGAGAATCTGAATTCATCTCAATCCTGCCATCTATTGGACAGACATCCTTACAACATGTTGTTGCACAGGTGGACTACAATAAACGCATTTATAGTATTGTAACAAACTCGCATGTTGTTCAACACCTTGTGTTAGATAACATTTTAAAAAGCATAGGGTACATTTTTGCAAAGTATGATGAATAGTGTTCTTATGTTCCCCTTTTTACCTTATTGTCTGAATGTATTCCTTTCATATCATTACTTTCCCATGTGCACGTATTGTGCATTAAGGCCATCCATGATTAAGACAATGAAACATGTATCCATCTTTGTTGTGCAGGAAAAGCTTGGTCTGTCCACACGCAAATATGAAGACTGTTGGTCACAAGCGTGACAACAAGCGTTTAAATATGATGTGCTTTATAACACTATGAATTATGGTCTCAAAACTGTATCAACACATCGGAAAGTATCGATATATATCATTGATGATGACATGTATAGACAGCGGCGTGTCTTATATTATACAAGCTAACATGTTGGCTAGAAAATTCTCTTGGTGTTCGGATAAGGTTAAGGTGAACCTCTTTAGAGCTTATTGTACTCCTCTCTATACTGCCCCCTTGTGGGTCAAGTTTAAGAAGGCGAGCCTCAAGAAGCTCCAGGTTGCATATAATGACTGTCTGCGTATACTGCTTGGAAAACCAAGGTGGTGCAGTGCAAGTGAAATGTTTTGTAATGCACGAGTCAACACGTTCCATGCTCTCTTGAGAAATCTGATGTACAAATTCATCTGTCGATTGAATGTTTCTCATAACTGTCATTATGCTGCTTTCAAATCCGTGACTCAGTACTGTACGATACCAGTCACCTCTGTGGAAACATTGGTATAACTGCCTTTTTTAATTTATATTTGAGTGTTGTATGTCTTTTAATAATGGACCAAGAGTCTCTTCAAATAAAAGCTGATGATGATGATGATATAATGTTGATCAGTTTTTGGTCATTTGTGGGGAGGTTAAATTGTATTTCATTATACAGAAATATACTGACAGGTGTTACTATATTTTTTCGACACCTATCAATGAACTCAGAATGCTAAAGAAATTGAAATGTTGATATCATTTTGTGTAAGTCTTTAATTTCACATTAATTGTGAATAATAAACGTCCTTTATGGTGAGTTGACTTTTATCATTTTTTAAATTTTGAAACATTTTGATACCCATAAGAAACTGGACCCATTTCTACTTTTGGGGAAATTATGGGGAACCTAATTTAGACAAAATAGATCATGCAGAACCCATTTCTGACAAGTAACCCCCCCTAGTGTCAATGATCTGAAATGTGACATATATGTCACATTGGGCTTTAATGGTAAAGTAACTCTTGTTTATAACTTAATTAATGAAGATGCTTTTTTAGTTTACATTTGTTTTAACATTCTTTGAATTGAAGAATAAAGAATATATTAATTACATATAATTGAATCAGCTAAATGAACTGAGCAGATCATAATCATATTTCTAATTATGCATATATGTCACTCCAGATTTTCTGAGAAACTGTGAGGTTCATTTATTTATCTTATTTGTTTCATATCAATATGATCAAATATTTTTTTCAAAACAGGTTAAATGTAATAAAGGAAATGTTATGTAAGCATTATAATTCTGAAATGGCTTGAATCTTACCTTTAGCAACAAAAAACAAGCTTTTGAAATGTAGCTAGTTGTTGTGCACCGACAGAAATGCTAGAGAGGTTCATGTTGTTTATGTTTGCTTTCTCTCATTCCAGGCTTCTTGATTGTTTGCACCTGTCATCCATCCTGTGTCTCCTGTGCTCATCAGTGTCAGCCCTGCCCCTGATTGGTCCCACCTGTGTCTTGTCACCCTGTGCTTAAATTCCCCTGTCTCCCAGTGTTCTTTGTCAGTTCGTATTGTCTTATGCTATGGTCAGGTCGATGTTTCTTGTGCTCGTGAAAAGTTTCATTCCTCACTACGTGAGCGCTTTCATTTTTTGTTCGCTAACTTCTGGGGAACGATTGAGAGGCTCCACGATCCGCCATTGCTGTAAAAAAGTGGTCCATTGGAGTGAACGGAGATGTCGTAACTCTTCTATTATATGGCTCTGACTCAGAGGTCAAGGAATAGGAGATAGGGTTAGAATTTAGGAGCTGATTTTTAAACTATCCGAACGCAACCCCAGTGTTCTTTGTCAGTTCGTATTGTCTTATGCTATGGTCAGGTCGATGTTTCTTGTGCTCGTGAAAAGTTCCATTCCTCACTACGTGAGCGCTTTCATTTTTTGTTTGCTATTTTTGTCATCTCGGCTAGAGATTGATAGTTACCCTTTTTGTTGTTCACTGCTGTATTGGAAAATAAAGTATCTTACAAATACTTGACCTCTGTCTCCCGGGTCGTGCAATTGGGTCCTACATCCTAAGTGTCTGAGTTCGTAACAGAACGAACTGACCATTA